CGCTTCAAGAGAGAGGGAAGCAACGGCATGAATCACGGGTGCCCTCTTTTGCGGATTTTGTGTCCTAGCAGCTGCTCGAGACATTCCTCCGGGTAGCACCGCGTGACAAATCAAGACAGGGGCACAGGCCCGGCCACATCGACGCCTCCCTCCCTTCCTCCCCCCCTTTCTCCCTCCCTGCCTCCCTCCCTTCCCCCTGGCCCCTTCCCCCTCCTTACCTGGTACATCTCCTTCCATTCGGTCCCTGACTCCGCCTGGATCATCGTGAACAAAGGAGGGATGGGAAACAAGGCGTCTTTTACCACCTGCAAACCTTCGCGCAAAAAATGCAAAATTTTCGTCTGGGCTCCGCCCGAGCAGTGGACCATCCCATGGATGTCCGACCGGTGCTTGTCCAGAATTCGCTTGATTACAGGCGCATAGGTTCGAGTCGCGCTCAGGACGAGCTTCCCTGCATCCAACGGCGCCCCGTCCACTGAGTCGGTCAAATTTTTGCTGCCAGTGTATACGAGGGAGGAAGGTAACTGGGGGTCGAAGGACTCCGGGTACTTCGTCGCGAGGCTCCGGTTGAAGACGTCGTGCCGGGCGGAGGTGAGGCCGTTGGAGCCCATGCCCCCGTTGTAGCCGTCTTCGTAGGCAGCTTGGCCGTAGGAGGCAAGTCCGACGATGAGGTCACCTGCGGAGGGGGACGAGTGATGTCGGAGATCATGAAAAAAAGAGTAATTGGTGCTCGCCTGCTTTCTTTCCACGAAGCCCTGCTCCACAAGCTTCCTTCATGCATGCGTACTACCTCCTTCCCTCCCTCCCCCCGGACCTGCTTGAATCCTGGCATTGTCGACGATGTCGCTCCGTCTGACCCGAGCCGTCACGGTCGAGTCCACGATGATCGTGCGGACCAGGTCACCCACGTCCGCCGTTTCCCCCCCCGTGCTCGTTATCTGGATTCCCCACTTGCCCAGCTCTTCCAAGAGCTCCTGCGTGCCGTTGATGATGGCGGCGAGCACCTCCCCCGGGATCAGGTGCTTGTTGCGTCCGATCGTGGACGAAAGGAGGATGTTGTCCGTGACACCCACGCAGAGCAGGTCATCCAGGTTCATGATCAGTGCGTCTTGGGCAATGCCTTTCCAGACACTCAGGTCCCCGGTTTCCTTCCAATACATGTACGCCAGGGAGGACTTGGTGCCCGCGCCTGTCCCCAGGGCAAGATGCGGGGGTGAAACATCATACAAAAGCGTTTTACGGCATACATACATGCCCCAAGATGTCGTGTGAGTTCTCGCAAGCTCCACACACAGTTTCTCTGTCCGAGTGCACGGTAGACTGATCCCCGTCGTTCAGGCCCCACACTCCCAGACCTGAACCAGTGCGTCTTTCCTATACGATCTTTCCCTTTTGTCACCTGCGTCCTTTTCTTCGCCCTCTCCTTACCGTCTGCGTGCATTACTAGGGCCCATTCTGGATCGTTGGTGAGGACGTCGGGGATGATTTTGCAAAACGCAAGAGGGTACAAGCCCTTGTCTATTTTTTTAATCGCGTTGTGCACTTCAGACTTGGTCGAGGAGACTCCGCGGCCCGCATATCGTTCTGACGATTCTTCAGTCATGTCTGAAGTTTACCCAGACTCTCGCACGATGCTTTTTGAATTGTCTTCACTCAGTCTTGTGAGAGCGGGAGGACCGGGGGGAGGAGGTCGTTCGTCGTTGACGTTCCCGTTTGTCCTCTTTAGACGCAGTACGGCGGGATAATATATATTGATACAGCGGGCAAAAACTAAAGGATTTGATGGGAAAATGAACGTCTGGATGTCAAAATAGGGGCCATGCCGAATTTTTTACTCGGTGCGGCAATTGATTTGAAGCGGCTCGGAAGCTTGCTGCTGCTTCATCGCCGCCGACAGGAAGCATTACTCACATGTAGCGGCACGTCCACGCTCTCACCTTCTACAACTACCACGACAGGGACCGAGACACCAGTTCATGGTACGCTTGCGGGCTACACGGCTTTTACATGCCCATTCTCTCGGCAATCACCACGATTCCCACACCGCGTCACCTTTAGCCTCCCGGCTCCAGCCTCCATGTCTTCCACTGCTCCTATTAATGCTCCTTCGCGTGCACGTCATGCTGACCTTCCTTCTCGTCGCAATGGACGCTGCATCCTCGAACATGTCTTCTAAAGCTTACACACGCCACGGCATTGAGGCGCTTAAAGGTCTTCTCTTTTGGGCGGTCAGCATCTTTATGCCCTCTCGTGACCCCGCCCTCTTCGTTCGTCTCGCCGTAGTCTGGATGGTCCTCACTTTTGGTTACAGTCTACTACTCCCTGTTGTAACCTTACTTCGCGCGGAGCATCGGCGAAGTTCAAACAGGCGTTCATCAATGTGGGAGGAGGAGTGGCTGCGATGTCTAATCGTTTTGAATGCACTTGCGGGCATGATGATCGTTGTAAAAATGTGTCTATACCAAGGGGCTTTTCGCAGGTTACTACTTAAAGACACACACAAAAGGAAAAGACGTATCAGAGAAAGACAAATGAAAGAACAATGACGTAAAACGAGGATAGGGAAGCCACAAAATGCCTTGGTCACGCGAAGGATGCAACCAAACCTCTGTTTCAATCCAGTCTCACCGACACCGAGCACCGCAAAAATGATACAAGTCTTCACTATCGTGCCTCTGGGCCCCCCTCCACTGTCCGTGAGGGCATCAACTCTACAAAGATCCAACGCCTGACTTAGCGTCCTCACTTTCCCTCCTTGCCCACCTGGTCCATCGCTCCGGACCCCCCGTCCCCTCCGACCCACCATCGTCGTGACGCATCCTTCTTCCAGATGCATCACTCCACCCATTCTTTCTCTGGATTTCCAGTTGCTTCCTCTTGCTACTTCCAACGTCTTACTCCCCCTCTTTCCTTTCCTTCACTCCTCCACTCCCTCTTTCCTCACGTACGCCAGTTGTCCGACGATTCCTTCGCCCATCCCTCTTCCTTCTCCCACCACGTCTTGCTAAAGGCCCCCCTCCTCAAACTGGCGAGTGTGTCATTATCCTCAACATCCAACGCCTGCGTTATGATGTCCTTGAAACCGCTCAATGCGGGACGTTCACGGGAGGTTTCCACCCGGCGATACCGACCGTTTCCCGTGTCGAGCATGCATTGGTACCCCCCAGGGTATGTTCGAAAAAGGGCACCCTGGTAGTTCAGGATGAAGGGAGGGCGGGACAGGGTCTGGGCGTACTGACGTGTGCGAAGCAAATAGACGGGTTTGATATTGGACAGAAAGCGATAATGCAGGTCCTTGGAGGGAAAGGCGGGCAGGCCCAGGTCTCCCCGGTGGGTTTCCAGGTTCAAATTGAAGAAAATGAGGGGCTTGGTGGGATCGGCTTGGTGCAAAGCCTCCAGATCGGGAAGCTCCTGGCCGGAGGAGATGACGCTGATGTAAATGTCCGCGTTGTACCAGGGCAAGACCTTGCCTTTGGCTGCCCGGGAAAAAATCCCCAGGATCAGTTCCCCCATGGTGTCGGCGGACTCCGAATTTCGGGCGCGGACGGCGCGGATGGTCACGTTCGGTGAAGGCGAGAGGGTGCCGAGCCCCTCTTCGATCAAATCCAATTCGTCCTTGTCGGGCACAAGAATCACAACTTGCTTGCCTTCACGCACGAAGTACTGGGCCATCTCGTTCGCCAGGTTGATGTTGGCGGAGCCAATGCTGTTGGCGCTGGAGGCCTGTGGGCAGCGAGGAGAGGGGTTGAGGAGAAGGCAATGACGTTGCAGGAAATGCACGATCGGCAAGGATCTCCTACAGAGCTGGAAGTGACCACCTTGAGGTCCCAAGAGGGTAACAAAAAAATACGTATGATGTACGTTACCTGGGAAGCCATCTCAGCGGCAGGTAGGGGAGGGAATTCTACTTCTAGCAGCTTGTAACCGTCCTTGATAGCTGCTGCTGCTGCGTTGTATGCTTGCAGCGTACACTCAAAAAAAGTGGATGGGGGGGCTGTTTTGTCCGCTGCTTTCAAGTCAGCTTCTGGAATTGCTTCCAATCCGACGGCTCGCGGCACAGTTGTTGCGAAAAGTGCCACTTGAGAGGAAAGAGTGGAGTGAGGGCGGGCCATGGGAAAAGAACCGGAAGGATAAGGCAGAAGAAACCCAATTGTGCTCTGGCTCATAAGCAGCGAAAAAAGGCAGGCGATGCTGCTCCATGTGTGCCTCATGACAGCTGCTGTACCATTGTAATATAGGTAGAAAGTGGCAGTGAGAAAAATGGGGCAGTGGTGGGCAAGGGGTGTTTGCAAGCGTGAGTCAGGACTCCTGCGTTCATGTTGTTCCGCTACGAACAGGGATTCCAGGCGCATCTGAAAAGCCCTGTCCGGCACTCTCCCAGCACGTGAGGCTCGCAAAGATAATAATGCCATGAAAGCTCGTGTTGTGCGCCCCTAGCGGGACAAGTGTCCTACTTGACGGGCGTGCATGTACGGTATTTCTTAGCCAAGATCGAGGATCTCTCTCTTGACGGGCTTCGACGCAGTCGCCGATCCGATCTGCTCACTCCCCTGGACTCAAGCGTCCATTTCTTAAAAGCTTGTACATGTCAAAGTTACGAGAAAAAAGAGGTTTGAATAAAGTAAGCACATATTTATGTTGGTCTAGGATAGGGATATGACATATCCATCTCAACAAAAAGACACCGCACGCGGGAAAACAATGATGAGAAGGGTCAGGTATTTGTTCTGCTACCTCGGAAAGTATTTTCAATATGCGACTAGTAGCCTTGGTCTTTTTTACTTCGCTTTGCCGGACATCGATACATGTTATCTTGGAGAATACAATTTTGGTTTTCCATCCCAAAAAAACAACGGGTGAGGACACAACGCTGCAGCCAAACATTATTAATTTATACGTTTCGGAGAAAAAGGGCAACAAGTGAAAGCAACAAGCCTCCCATGACACCTTCATGTAACTAAGCCCCGGTATGGTCTCGATGTCATGAGCAGCCTTCATTGGGATTCTGCTGATCAATCAAAGGATAAAAGCCGTTTCCATCTTCCCGCCACCCTCCCTCGATGAAGGCCGCTGAGAAGACTTCATTGGAGAACCCGGGACGTTCGGATAGCATGCCCGAGATATTCGGTGAAGCATTTATCTCGATCAAATGCGGTGATAGCGTCGCACGGTCCAGCAATACATCCACACCTACCAAGGC